GGGCCGGGGCCCGCCTGCCAGTGCCTGGCACAGTGGCAGGTGAGGCACTGGGGGTGGCTCCAGCTGCCTCCACCACCAGTGCTTGGAGCCAGGGGCATGACCCTGGAGCTGACACAGGGGCAGGAGAGCCTCTGCATTGATGCTGGCCAAATTAACCTGAGATTCTAGCCACCCTGAGGCTGGAGAGCCACCCCGGGTGGCGTGACCGGGGTCCCAGAAAGTGACAGTCCCAAAGGAGGATCCTTGCCCGGAGTCCTGGGGGAGCTGGTGGGGCTGAGGCCAGCTTCAGGCATTGGTCCCAGTGCTGGCAGCCTGCAAGGGCTCCGTGCCAGCAGGTGGGGGCTGTGCCACAACAGGAATCTGTGGATCTGGAAAAGAAGAGCTGTGGATCAGCAGCTCAGCCTTGTCACATGGTGCCAGTGAGCAGGGGTCTGGGAGGTCTCAACACCCCCACAAAGGCTCCCCCAGACCAAGAATCCCAAATGTCTAGCCAGTGCACAGCCACCGGTGCCCCACGGAAACCAAAAGTGACCCTGTGTCAGTCCCCAGAGACTGGGGCCAGTGCCTAGGGAACAAAGCCAGCCTGGAGCACGCTGCTCCCTTCACACAGGCCTGTGTCTCTTGGCCAGACTCACAGGAGTTTTGGGGAGCCCAGGGAAAAGTGAGGAAGGAGAAGGCATCCCTAGAGCCTGCGTGGGGGTTCCCTCCACCATCATCACCAGCCCCTGTCCAGTCAGGAACTGCAGGGACCAGCTGTTAAGTAGGAGACACAGCTAAATCTGACCCGAGCCTCAATCTGAGGCTCCAGCCCCCCACAGAAGATGAGACGGGGGAGGTTCTCCAGACCCCCACAGAAGGCCAGGTGGTCTCAGCTCCTGGGGCTGGAGGGGTGCAAAGAGCCCAACTCACCGCTCTCCTCTGCAGACATCTGCGCCTCCAGGTCCTTGGGGTCGACGTACTTGTAGGGCTCATCCTCCTTTGGTGGGCAGCACGTCCCGCAACAGAAGAAGCAGCAGCAGCAGCAGCAGCAGCAGGTGAGAGCCCCGCAGCGCAGAGCCCGGGCCTGCAGGGGGAGGGATGTGAGAGACCCTGCGAGACCCCCT